GGGACTTGATGCTGGGAATCAAGACAACTACTATGGCAGACGACTTCGGAGTAGGTGCGTTCTACATAGTCTCACTGAAAACAAGACCAAGTTGCAACAACGAGGTCAACCCACTTCTATAAATCGAAAGGAGACTGAAACCATACCAAAGGCCACAACATCTTGGTCTTCATATCTTCAATTAAATAAATTAATCTCATTCAATGATGATTGTATCAGAAAAAGCCAGCTTATATAACCGCTGCAAAGCAAAATCCCGAATTGCTTGCATCAATTAATCATTGCTTGATGATGTACATAGAAAGTATATGCTCTCTAAAAGTGGATCATAGGCATGACACAGCCTAAGCTTCATTCGAGCACCCAAAGAGTTTCGAGCATAGGAATAAGGTCAGAGATAAAAAGTTGCTTTTGCATAAAGCTCTGCAGTTTAAGCTGAAGGTATTGCTGACAAGAATGACTCTCGGGTATTCTAAGAGTTGATGAAAGTCGACCTTTTCTATGCAAATCTCGGGAACAGTAAAATATATCTACTTATTTTTGGTCAAAATACGCCACTTCTTTGAAAAAATGGCCAGGAGCAGAAAAATTACTGGTTACTCCCACAAAATATTACTTTGCAGTTTCCTTCGCATTAAGCAATTCAGATCCTTTGGTGTTCTACTAAGACCTAACCATAACATTGAAAAATGTTATGGGAATTACATAGGGTTAAAAATATTTTACCCAAAACTATCAGGGATGAGCGTTTTGAAAATGTTTTTTGGATACAATAAATATAATATTCATCTAATTAAATTTGTATAATTATAATAAGATTAAGGTTCAACTAACACTGAGTTAAATAGCATTGCTTTTTTTTATTTGTTGACTTTGAAGAATTTCTCAAACTTAGGGCTCCAAAGGGGGTCTGGAAAAATCTAATTTTTTTAAAGGTCATAGTGAGAATGCATTTTGCCTTAAACGATTCACAGCTGTCAGTTGCTGAGGCCACCCCAATAATTTCGGTATTAATTAGCTTGCATAGGAAAATTTTTGCTTCAAATACATTAACCCAACTTCAATTATGGTATCCCTTGTCATTATGAAAGAATTATTTTGCAAGGAAAGAGATTAATAAATAAGACTAAGAGAGAAATAGGAAATTCGTAATGCACTTATTATCGTTGATTTGTGCCGTTATGTAGCTCCGTCCCATGTGTGTTTAACTTTGCCCTTTACCACCACAACAAACATCGACAATTCCAAAAACTAGTCAAAAGATAATTTTATAAAAAGTTATCCAAAATTAGCGGATAGCTATATTCATACCAATTCCTTATCATCTATCGCTGTTGTATATGGCTATTTGGATAGACACATTACAGTTCCCTAAACATCAGTAAAGATGAGTGAAATTTATTTGGATGTGGTATACATCGAATAAATAGTATCAGGGTTTGGATACCTTACAGTAAGGCGGAAGCTAGGATGGTCGAAACTAATAATTTATTATTGTTCTGAATAAAAAGAATACAAGCCATTAGCACATTATTAAATTTAGATGGATTTAGGCAAGGAGACAAATATTTATGCGAAGAAAAGTTGGGTTTCGAGGAATCTTTTGTTTCATAATTGTTGAGTTTACTCCCATTTCAAGTGAAAGTGTTGGGTGAAGAGATTCAAGGTCGGCT